AACAAAAGCAAGACTGAGGTTGTTTTATTTGGAAAGTAACCTCTTCTCAATGGGTTTGCTTTTCTTGTCCCTCTTGCTCCTTGTTGTTCCTGTTTTGTCAAGAATCTTGGCGTGTTTTTAGACAGTCCTTTTAAATTTGAAAAGCAAACACCCTCAGTTGTTAAAACCTTTTTCTTTTCAGCTATGTCTAATTGCCAAAGCAAATTTATATACAGCAAGGGTTCTCAATCTTTGGGTTCAGGGGACCCCTTACAGGGGAGAAAGAAATTCAGGGACCCCCTCATAACCGTCATGTTTATTAAATAATTGTCTTCAATTTGTCTCTTTAATGCAGTGGAAATATTTGTGTAACGTAAATACTTAAGACCTGTTCTTTAATAGTGTTAATACAAATTTTATACTTTTAAACATGGGGTATTTTTCATTTAAGACATAATTAACAAAATTTTTAATTTCAACTTCCAAAAATTACAGTTTTGAGAAAATTAATAAAAACCACTTTAAAACTTTACCTTGACCGCGCGCTGCCCGGCCTTGAAAGAGGTAAGAAGTTCAGTGAAGCTTCAGATGGACTGTACTGCCAGGAAGCGACCCATCGCCCAAATGGACATTCGTTCAGCCGCTGCACTCAGTGGACGCGCGCGGCCGATGATCCAAACAGGTGGGATCACAAAACAGACGTGTCAGAGCAGGGTCCGTGAATAAATCAGAATGCAGCAGGAACAGGGTTTAAATGTTCTTTTACGGTCATGAAAGGACAAACACCCCCTCAGCTCCGATCTTATGCCCCTTTTATTCAGCCACGCGCCCCCGATCATTAATGTTGGGGTGGTTTCCGGGTTTGGACCTGTAATTAATGTTAATTCGTCGGGGTGGAGTTCGGAAATGATGACTGCAGGCTGGGGCCGGGTCGGATCAGATTTTTTGGACCCGAGTGCAACTCTAACTGTATTCCTCAAAAAGACCTTAAAACTCTTGTCCATGTCTTCGTCACAACTAGACTGGACTACTACAATTTCTTACATGTTGGTAATTTTTCATTCAACCTTTATTTGGCTGTGGCTGAGTGGTTAGAGCAGTCGTCCTCCAATGCGAGAGTTGGGGGTTCGATTCCACCAGCAGTCACATGCTGAAGTGTCCCTGGGCAAGACATTGAACCCCTCATTCCTCCAATGTGTCCCCCATCGGTGTATGAATGTGATCTAAAGCACTGATTAGTCTCTTTAGAATGATTTGTTCAATCAGCTTTGTAGAGATCTAGTATAGAGCTGTATGAATGGGTAAATGAGGCACAGATTGTTGTAAAGATCTTTGAGTATCTTGAAAAAAGATAGAAAGGTGCTGTATAAGTACAGACCATACAGACCATTAACCATTTATTGACCTTTTGGACTTTTATAACAGAGACAGAGCTCTGAGATCCTCCAGTCAGATGCTGTCAGTGAAGCCAAGGACTAAATAAAAACCAAGAGGGGATCAAGCCCCCAGACTCTGGAACAACCTGTCTACTGAAATTAGTTTTGCAGCATCTCTTCAGTTTTTTTAAATCCTGCCTGAAAACTTACTTTTCATACACTCTTGTTTTATTCAAGTTCAGTTTCACTTCCATCATAAGTTTGAAATTTTTATTCATTGGGGACTGGAAGTGCCTCGTAAGGCAGCCACTTATTATTACCCACCTGAAAAGGGTCTGGCTCTTCTGTTAACTTTAATGCGACCCGAACAGCGACGTGTCCTCCACAAACGTTATATCAAAACGACCGGCCCAGCACCGTGATGTGTGCTGTTACTTTTATTGGTGTTTCAAGTTACCATGGCGACATAATTTGTAAACAAAAATGCAATTTTTCTCAGAAAACAGAAAACTGACTATAACTAAGTCATTCTTTGAGATGCTGAGATGAAATTTGGTATGTTCCTAGGTAAGAGCAGGTTGCTACACATTCCTAATGCAAATCAAAAATCCAAGATTGCTGCCTTAGCTAAAAGAGAAAAATACGATAACTCAAGGTTTCTCTATTGTCATTCGTATCGCATGTAGTACATGTGGTGGAACGAAATTGTGTACACAGGTCCCCATCAAAAGTATAAACTGTAAAATAAGATCTAAGATTTGAACTAATAAAAATGCGAAACACGTAATAGTGTAAAAACAATACACCAAACTCAGGCCTTTTTAGAGATATTAAGCTGAAATTTGGTGTGGTGGTAGCTGAGAATAGTACCCAATAAATACTGAATTCAAATGAAAATCCAAGATGGCCACCAAAGCTACATTTAAATGACTTTAACTCATTTATTTTTACACATATAGAGCTGAAATATGGCGAGGTTATAGTGATCCCTATCACAAACCGGATCCAAATAAAAAATCCAAGATGGCCACCATAGCTTAAGAGAAAAAAAATGACTTTAACTCATTGAGTTTTTGCCGTGTTGAGCTGATATTTGGTATGGTGGTATCTGAGAGCGAACCCCAGCAGAGTACTGGCCAATCAAAATAAAACATGGCCGCCACATGGTAGTCCCCGTCAAAGTTTCTCCAGGAACTTTCTAGTTTATTTTATTGTTGGCTTTTCCTTTTGTTCTTAACCTCTTTGGGAAGCACTCTGGTCTACGTTGTTGTTTTTAAATGTGCTATTTTTAAAAAAAAATTACAGTCATTGTTGAGACAAAAACACGCGAGGTCGCCAAATCTAACAAAACACAACAACTGGTGTGTATGTTTTTTTTTTGTTTCCGTCTTTGGACCTTTTCTGGTAAAATCATCTCCCTTGTCAGGACCAATAGTTATTCATTCATTCAACCTTTATTTCTACAGGTTAATTCCATTGAGCCTCGGGGACTCATTTACAAGAGAGACCTGAGAGACCAAAAGAGTTCTTAGGGGGACCAAACCCTGGCCCTAATGACATAATTTTGGGTTAAGGGTAACAATTAGGCCTCAGGTGTGAATTAAGGTTAGGTTAATGTCACGGTTACACTACAGAAATTAACAAAGTCAATCCTATGTTCCAGTAATGACAAAATACATCCTTTTGAATGTTTCCAGGTCGTCTTCACCATCCGTGACCCGTCCCAGAAGTTTCATCTCCCTCTGCTGATGAGTCGTTTCTCCTACAGCACCTACAGAGGAAGCTGAACGTGTCGTGAGCTGCAGACATGGAGCTTTGAGTTGTCTTCACACAGACCTGGTTTGGACTGCTGAGGTCAAAAATTATTAATTTAACTGAGGTAGCATGATGTAAAGTTTTTAACTTGTTTGGGCTATTACTGTTGTACAAGTTGTACTTTTATACATCAAAATATATATCCTCCAATAGATGTGGTTAAAACTTTTTATTTATTTATTTGAGTATTACCATATTCATCAAAATGTTACAATATATGTGTCAACTTAGGACATCACATCTTTCATTTTCCATTTATTTCTTTGTTTTTGAGTTTCTGAGAATGTTAGCCAACATACATTTATATTTGGAAACTACTGGCTTTACTTTTATGTTTGCACTTATTGTTGGGTTTTTCTCTTTAACTTTAGTTTTACCTGTTAAATTACTCCAGTCTCAGATGTTTCTTGTGGAATGTGATTGAAGTCCATATGATATGATCAAATGTTCATATATATATATATATATATATATATATATATATATATATTTGATTGGGAAACAGACAGATTGGTATTCCAACATTTTAAAGACAGAAAATCTCTGAGAAAACAATTGTTTTTGTGATGTTGTCAGAGGTGAATAAACAGTAAAAACAAGTTGTTTTCACTCTTCTTCCTTTCCATCATGAATTTATTATTGTAAAACCACCTCGGTGCAACTTGCATCATATTCTATGTTCAATCATGTATGATCTGAAGAGAGAAACACGGATGCAAAATTATAGTTTCTTATGGCTAATTGCAAAAGAACAATTTGTGTGCATGCAAACACATTATGATTACCTGCAAATAGGGACACTGTTTACCGCCGCATCATAAATACAGTAGATTTGATAGGGAAGCGAGGAGCACTGTCATGAAACCTTTAGCTGATCGGTTCTGGGGTTTATGCAAGCTGGGATCACGGGCCCTTCCTGGAAGGTGATTAGCTCTTGGATCCAAACAAACACAAAAAACAAGCCCCAGTTTGAGTATATTACACTGGAAGAAGTTTTGGGGATTCAACCGATCTCCTGGTTCAAAACTAGGGTTAGCTCTCCATCCTCAGCAACAAACAGGAACCTGGCCTGTGTGAAACAGACCTAATAATCAATAACCCTGGGTTTTATCAATATCAAAAAATATAAATATAAGCAATACGTGTACATGTTTTATCATCATTACTATAGCAATATAAGTTCATAATATAAATAGAATCAACCTCATTATTTGAGTACTCTTAAATGTTCCTAATATTAAAGGTCCTAATATTGCATCTTAGCACACAATATAGCATTTCACCATTTCAATGTACCTTCAATTTAAATGCTTCAATGTTAACACAAGGAGTTAGTTATTTATTGCAAGAGGCTTATTATTATTATCCAAATCAATACAAATGCAGGTGCTCAGAAATAGTAGAACAAAACCATCAGTGACATTTAGTATAGAAAAGTATTAAAGCTAATTATTTATTCTATAAGCACATTCAAATAAATGTATAATAGCACTGATTTAGCACAGAGCCCAATACAATAACATGGAGGCTAGTGCTAGCATGCTAGCTCCAGAAACAAACAAACTCACCAGTTCCTACTTTTAGAATACACAGTCAGCTGAAGGTTTCTTCACAAACAGACATCTAATAGTTGAGAAGCACATCAGTCAGAAATGGCAACATAGGAATTAGATAAAGGGCTTTCAATGGCTTAAAGCCAACCTGCAACAAAGCCTGGTTGTGAGTGTCACCGATCGGTTCCCGGACCAAAAAAAAATTAAAAATCTGTTCCGGTGACATCGAGACTGGAAACACGATCCATAATGTGCACCCGTATTCTGGGCGCAGGAGTGGTGCACCCAGAATCTTCCTATCGCTTGTATTGGAAGGGGAGCTACTGCGCATGTACAACTTTTAATGTCTATGGGCAAAGATTTTTGCGCCCCCAGGGCAAAAATACATCATCAATCAGACAAAGTTTTTGAAAGAAACAACTTTACTCATCATTAACTATAAAATATTTATCTTACACAACAAAAAAACATATACATATGAATATTTTATTATTGCTTTTTTTTTTAATAAGTCTTCAAGGTAATATGCTGAGTAGTGGGGTGGCACCCTAGCGCCCTCTATTGACCATCAGCCACTGGGGAGTACCCGGAGAAAACCCATGCAAACTCCACCCAGAAAGCCCCGCCCCGCCGGGATTCGAGCAGCCGACCTTCTCGCTGAGAGGCGTCTAGTAGCTCTACCAACAGTTCCACCATGCAAAATACAACTCGTTT